TAGGTCTGAATTGGCATTTTTTACTATTTATTTATAAATATTTGAAAGTTTGTATCCATTTATTATTTTCAAAGTTTTATTTAATTTTAATTGTATTTATTTAAAAATATTTTCTGAACATTTAAAGCTAATCCGGGAAATAGTTTCGAAAATATGAGCGTATTTGTATAATCTGGTTAACTTCATATGTATAATCGGCTTAAAACTCTGTTTTCAAAGTCGGTGAGGATATTTTATCCGAAAATTTAATTGAACAAAAAAAGTAATTATTATTGTCATTTAGTTTACGTACTGAAGCTTACTTATTCACACACGCCACGAAAGCGGATTGTTTTTAATTTTCCATTAATCTACCAACTGGACAATCTTACTAAGACCCTCAAGCGTACATACATTATGGAATAAAACAATCCTAATAAAGTATAGTCAGAACGGGCGTGCCATTAGTCCCGAAAAAAAATAAAAAAACATATTTTAATTATTCTCTATAACACTCTAAGGCGGCTTAAGAACAAGAGAGACCAAGGGGCCGATGAATTACCGAGAGAGCTGTTTAAAATCGGTGGCGAGAAGCTGAAAATGCCATATAAATTCTAGCTTTTGGCTTAACTAATCTCGCCATCAGCAAAGATTTCACCAATAATCTAAGCCTGGTGATCAAGCGCAAAATAACTCCTACCAACAGCTGTTATTTTGAGATCGACAGACAATTGTAAAACGGATCCCTCCCTCATCCCTCTCATTTCCCCGTCCTATTATGCGGCGCAGAAACATGTATGATGACGATCCCAAATGAGAAAGAACTTGAAGCATTCAAGAGAACTGAACAAAGTATCGAAGAAGCTGGAAAAACGAACTGCAAGAGCTATGAGGTTAGGCCATGTCGTTAGCATGAAAGATGATGCTCCAGCGAAAAGTTGCAGCGACCCAAGTGAAGGCAACGGAAGCAAATGCGTTCCGCATACAATGGAAAAACCAAATGCATGGCGGCTTGCCTGCACTTGGGCGTGCCCCCAACAGGATAGAGGCAACTGGCGAAGTTTAGTGTTCTCGGCCCAGATCGACCCACCTTTGGACCTACTTGTTTAAATCTACTTGATCCCTTAATTCTTTCCGCTTTTAACCCAGCATGTTCAGTACATCCTTAAATTTACAACAAGTCCTTCGCTAAAACACCCACTGTATGCCATTTGCTTCCGACCAATTGATTTGCACCCATAACTAGAACGATATTACAGCTGCTGCAGTTGCCACTACATTTGCTGCCGTTTGAGGGCGTTTCTTCGCACTGCACATGCTGCAACAAAAAAATTCAACTGCAATTACAACAACATAAACTGCACTTGCTTTGCGAGAATTTATTGCCGATCCAAGTTGCATTTTTTTGCAACACATAAAATACTCGCACAAACGAAATGTCTTCATGCGAAAGCATTGATGTTGCAAGCACACAAACGGCGCGCTCAGCTCAAGTGTTTGTTAGTTTGTGCCCGTAAGTAGTACCACTTGGCTGCTTGGCCTCCACCTCCAATTGGAATTTAATGGAAAACGTTTTTTTTTTTTTTGATTATTTTTTCCTCCACACAATCTGCCACAAAGCAACTTCATTTCATCGCTTGGCTACATGCAACATGCAACATTGGATCAATTTTTATTGAAGAATAGTATTGCCGAAAGAACTCTGATGTGGCGGTTGGGGGAGAGAGTTGTTTTTTTTTTAGCCGCATGGCATTGAGGGTATTAAACGTTTACAAATTGATTGCCTTTAAGTAGCTTGTGGAAAGGCGAGGCAGTTGGGAGAGGTATATTTGCCCTCAAGGCACTCTACTCTTCTTCTTTTTCTTCACAACGTACATTTATAAAAGACAATTGCAATATGAACCGCTGAAACAGAAGCAATGCTATAAATATATGACGTTATTGCTGTAGGTGTTGCTTCCTTTTGATTAAAATACGCTAGTGATCTTATAATAATACCAAACGTAAAATAATCGGTTCGAAATTAAACCAATTTTACCTGTTAAAAAATGGAATACTTAGGTTTATGTAATCGAAATAGTATAATGGTTGAAATTATATATCGACTTGTTAAATCCGGTTCGGATTTTGCCAATTAAATGATCATAAATGGCAAAAAAAGAGTTAGGATAATTGATATTATCGGGACCCACATCATATCTGGAGTGAGGATCATTTTCAAACACGTACTTATGAGCCCCTAAAAATAATACTATTTCAGGCATATTTTTTACAAAAGAAACGGTCCCGACTGAGTTTATTATTATAATATCTCGGTGATCCTACTTGGACTGTTAAAACACCGATATTCTGTGAAGTCCTTCTTGGTATAAGTCTAAGTTTTCTTAGACTGATGAAAGCTGAAAAATGGAGGAGAAAGTGTAGAAATGTCAACTGTTTCTTCCAGACATTTCTGTTACTTGACGTACTATATATGCCTCTTGGGCAGCATCCGGTTAGAACCCCCATACCGATTACAATCGTTGCACCGATTACTTCTTAAACTGACTGAAAGCCTTATTGCATAAGTATATTTCCACACAAACACACATGTAATACGGACAAACAAGCATCGTTTTACCAAAATGACATATCAATGCGCACCTCCGAGGCATCAGTAAACGCTGACATTATTCAACCGGAATGCGGTTGCAAATCGGGTCTCTGCCTATACTTTCGTAGCGTCCAACGTTGCGTATACAAATTTTCCATTTCGTATTTTACAAGTTATTACAAAATTATTGCACTTGCGGTTAACGGCTTAAAGAGAGGACTAAAAGTCCTCTGGCTGCGTAACCTGATTTCCATGTTGCTCGCGATAATCGATACCGCAAGTAAATGATTTGTTTTTACCTTGGCGATGTTTGCTCAATTTGTTTGGTTTCCTTCTTAATTTAAAAGAAATTATCTTCGTATGTCAATCGATTCCATTTTGTTTTGGTGTTCTTATTCTTCATACATTTCCGTTTAATTACTTACGGCTCGAAATGATCTTGTTACTGCGAATTTATTGGATTACTGAATCAAGACGTTAGAGACCGTAACAATGCAATGGTGAGACTAAATTGGAATACGATTGTGTATGTTTAGTGAAATTGCTTGGTATATGGTAGAGCGTTTCGTTAATGGTGTCTTATCTAGAATAGCTTTGCATTTGGATGCAAATCTTAAGTCCTCCACAGAAACGAATTTGGCCTTGACAAGCGCTCTAAAACTAAACAAAACGATGTAAATGGTACGAAACATATGGCGAGTAAAGAATAAATCGGAGACCCTGTAAGGTATATATAGTATAAATGATCAACGTGAAGCCAAATACATAGACATATGTCTGAGTATGCGCGACCTAGCCTCTCGGTTTTTTTGGTTTCGAAATGAAATTATTCACACGTCCTTTTTCTGCAGGCAAAATGAAATATTAAAAAATCGTCATAAAGTATTTTTTTTCTTCTTTTTACGTAATCTTAATTCTTGATAGTTCATCATATCAATCAATCTGGCAAGAAATAACACAACATTTCATTACAAGACCAATAAACTGTTTTTGAATAGAGAGCACACTATATTTCTTGTTATGATTGTTTCTTAGAACTTCTTCAGCCATACGATTGAAATTACACGAATAATGTTAGAATTGGGCTACATCGTCCGATAGGAATAGCTTCCATTTCAAAGAAAAATTTACTTTTGGGGCACCCTATGATTGAAAGCGTTATTAGCGAATCATGATTTTTTGTACCTATTAGTAAATATGTAACAAGGGGTCCGCTCTACCACCTCCAATACAATATTTTTAGAAACCTTCAGTCGGAAAATTTAGAAAATTTCCATTTATTGAACACTTCTAATATAATATACTTTTACTGTTAATGGTAAATTTACAAAGAGCTACCTGTACTCTCTATATTTCCTCTACCTTTTATTATTAAGTCGTTGCGTGACGTAATATTCGCAAGAGCTTTCCAATTCTCGAGCAGCCCTTCGTGACATTCTCAGAGGAAAGCTTCAAAGCGAATATTTATACAAAATATAACTGATGAAGAATGCGATAAACAAAGATAGAAATCGCAACAACGAAAACAAGCATAAACAAACACGGGACAGATTACAAACATAAGTGAAAGTACAGAGAAAGCTTTACTGAGATGACCAAAAAGTGTAACGCGCATGTCCTCTACCACAGTGACACAACAACAAACCACCGTTGCGAACGTCAGATAATACAAAACCTGTCATGTCAAGTGGCGGAATTTAGCAAAATAATATTACGCATACGACACGTTGAAACTTCGTGCCACGTACCCGACGGCAGTGCGAGGTTAGACGGCCACAGTGCTTTCATTCAGAGAAGCTACAGTCGGGCAATGAAAGCAAAAGTTTTTTATAACACTGAAAATTCTAATGGCAGTGAATACTGACAAACTGTAAAGTGCTCGTACATTCATGGTTAGTATCCGACAAACATTCACGTTGAAGCAAACGGCAGTGAAACCAGAGCACGACGCATTAACGGTTTCTGAACGTGGGCGATCTTAAATGAACGCACACATTGAGCCTTAAGACGTTGAACAAAAGAAACCAACTGAAAGAGTGAAGTGTCACGTCGTCGTCGCAGCCTTGCAGCGACAGCAATTAATTAAGTGCATCACCAACACAAAGGCAGGCCGTCTTCGGTCTTCGGTCATCGGTCAAAGCGGCTGGCAGCAAGCTGGCAGGGGCGGGCTGAATGGTCACCAGTCACTCTACCACATAGAGCCGTTATATCGATTTAATACGAGCTGTGCGGCGTAGCGGAAGTTGTGCGGGGCATATTTAAGGCAGCGCAACATCACACAAGACTGCAATGTACGCCGTGCAAAAATCAATTATAATTGAGTAATCCAATTTGGAGGTTTTACAAAAATACGCCGGAAAGTAATTATATTCATCTAGTGTTATTCGCTCGGTGTGCACTTTAAAGAATTCTCGCAGAAGCAATCAAAATGTTGCTGCGCCAGAAGTCGCCTGCTGCCCATTGGCGCTCCTTTGTGGACCTAATGATGGCACCAGTGTCGCCGAAAAATCTTCGTCTGTCGGCTATACTGATTGGCATTTACCAACTGGTGAGTGTTACTTACAAAAACAAACTCAATGAAAGTTACATAGACATATGATCCTTTATCTAAAATATTTAGTGGCTGTTAAAGTTCTAAAAATGTGCAGACTAGCATAATGTAGCGAAGCTAGTTAGTAGTTATGGGTATGTATGTGTATGTGCGGCGCAACACAGTGGCACTCCCATGTAATTTAATAGCGAATTTGTCACTGCAATTGCCACCAAAAAACTTCGACTCAAGTTGACTCTGTCAAATGGGACTAATTGCAGGTGAAATGAATGGGCAAACAAGCTCACAAGCACTACAAACAAATATTGTAACTTAATTCTAGGCTTTTGTGTAAGATAGTACGCACTTAACTATTTAGTTTGAAAATTGATTATTATATTAATGACAATGAAATGAAACCATTATACGTTTCGGTGTTTCTTTCGTTCATGATATACATAATTTCATAACTAGCCAAAACTAGAATTGTCATCTCTAAAACGGTATCTAATGTCCAATTGCACTGGAGCAAGTGATATGCAAAAAGTTTTCAAAAAGTTGTTGATATTAATGATTCCCTCTTCAATGTTATCTTCAATAAATTTGTAGGTAGGTTAGCTTAGAATACAAGGAACTTTGTGAAGCCACACGAAAAACCCCTGGATATCAGCTAGTAGTAGAAAGTCTAAAAGTATGAGATCCGAGGTGACAACCCAGGACTCTATCTTATCTTCTTCTAGACAAAACTTAAAAGTTATACATTATTTCCGTCATAAGTGACACTCCGCGAAGAAAATGACTTTAAGATGCAGGTAAAAATTAAATAGTCTTAAAGTCAGCGAACTCAAGGCTAGTATCGCTGCCCTGCTATCGAAGATGATAGCCATCACTCCTCTACCAACAGACCTAGATTTCTGGATAGTACTTTTTGTTACAGTCTTGATAACTTCGAACAACAATGCAATTTTTATGTACTTTGGCGCAGACAACCTCCATATTTTCAAACTAACAGGGGCCGGGACATGATTATGTTGTTATTTTTCATCCACTTGACAAAGCGAAGGATATATAGACAGAAGAAAGAGTTAAGAATCACAATGTTTAGACCTTTAATTATTTTCAACAACTCAAGAGCTTTTTATTACTTCACGAAAAGGGGGAAATTAAGGTAATGCTCTTTGGTTCCCGGATGACCTTGTAGCCTTAAGTCAATCCTACCATTAATGTTATTGAGTCGACTTTTTTCCTTGACTAAGTTCTTCGCCTCTACAACATTCTCACTTTTAAACATACAAAATTTTGGCTTAGAGTAAAGGCATTATAAACTAATGTTTCAAGCTTCTGAGTCACCGAAATAAATCTTGCTACAATACTTATTTCATTCTTAACAAATACAAAATATATGTGTTACTGGTATTGTGATTAATGTAATATAAACAACATTCCAGCTCGTCGCCCACTTGTTACTCTTCCTGGTTCTCTTGGGTCTGGCCCATGCCGAACAAATGAAAACTATGCTCGCAATGGATATTGAGGATCAAAAGGATAATGGCTTTTATGATATGTCACCGTTTCGCAATCAATTGCGTCTGCGCACCGCCTCCCAGCTCGTTTCCGTTACCGAAATGCTGCTCTACATACTGACAGCAGTGGCTTCGGTTTATCTGCTCAGCACCATCGCTCTTTTTGCAGGCATATTTAAGAATCGCTCGGAATTCGTACTTCCGTGGTTGGTGGTTGAATTTATATTCATTGTATCGGCTGCGGTGTTGGTATTTTGGTTACAGAATGAGAAGTTTGTCGATATCATTGGGGGCAAAATATATTACTGTGAGTATTAAATTGCACTTTATTAAGAATAAATTAAATTAGATTAATTTTGTAATCACGAATCCTTTGCAGTTATAATATGCTTCACGGTGCTGTCTTTTGATTGCTTGATGTGGTACATCATACATTCTTTTTATCAAAGGCTACGGACCATGAACAAGTTGCGAGAGATTGCCACTGTCGCAATACCCTGCCCGCCGCCTGGATCGGTGAGTACATAGAAACCGTATTACAAACATTTCAGTATGAAATAATTACTGGATCTCTAATCATCACGACAACGTCAAAATTGGCCCACAATTTGTTTTCCTCTGCTGATCTTGTAGATAAAAAAACTATCAATGGCCATTCGGTCAAAATCCATCACTATCTATAATTGCAGTAAGTTCCGTATGAGAAAACAAATTTCGGTTTTTTTTTTGGTTTTGGCTCATTTAGAACGCATTCACTAGGCTATGGGACAGTTTCGACCCTGTGTACCCAAAACATTGTGAGTCGATCCATAAAAGATGTTGAGACCACATGCTATCTTTTTGTTGCTTACACGACGATTTTCAAGCTCTTTTTCTGTTTCTTTAACTTTTTCGATGTTATCGGCATTAAGAGAAGCGGCTACTATTCCGTAGCCATGATTCCATTGTTCAATTGTTTATTTTCATGGTAAAAATGTGTGTCTTAAACACACACTAATTGACATATGGATCTAGGATATTTTTGATATCCTAATATCCATTTATTGTATTCAATTAAATATCATCTACGGTTATCTGACTATTCACTCTGTCATAAGCGGATAGCTGAAATATTCTTAAGGAAACCTTAAAAATTGCTTAAAACTCCAAACAATTTCTTCTTCTTCTTCTTAATTGGCGTAGACACCGCTTACGCTACTTGGCACCAACTGGATATTCCAAACGTAGACAGGTCCTTTTCCACCTGGTCCTTCCAACGGAGTGGAGGTCTTCCTCTTCCTCTGCTTCCCCCGACGGGTGGAGCGTCAAATACTTTCAGAGCGGGAGTGTTTTCGTCCATTCGGACAACATGACCTAGCCAAAGTAGCCGCTGCTTTTAATTCGCTGAACTATGTCAATGTCGTCATATATCTTTGTTCGGTCGAATGCGATATTCGCCGTGGCCAACGCGAACCATAAATCTTTCGCAGAACTTTTCTCTCGAAAACTCCCAACGTCGACTCAACAGTTGTTGTCATCGTCCAAGCCTCTGCACCATATAGGAGGAGGGGTACTATGAGTGACTTATAGAGTTTGGTTTTTGTTCGTCGAGAGAGGACTTTGCTTCTCAATTGCCTACTCAGTCCGAAGTAGCACCTGTTGGCAAAAGTTGTCCTGCGTTGGATTTGTTTTTTTGTTTCCTTGTCCAGTCTGGAGAAAGCAGAACTAACGGCGCGGGTATTGAGGCCGATGATATCAATATCATCGCCATACACCAGCAGCTGTCAATCCGTCGGCACCCGCCGCTTTGTTGTTCTTCAGGCGGGTAATTGCTATTCGAACTTCTTCATGGTCGGGCAATGGAACTTCTGCTCCATCGTCATAAATTGGGGAATCGGGTTCGCCTTCTCCTAGCGTTGTTCGTTCACTGCAATTCAGCAAGCTGGAGAAGTGTTTCCTCCATAATTTAAGTATGCTCTGGGCATCGGTGACTAGATCACCTTTGGGGGGTATGTTCCGGTCTTGAAACCTTCTGTAAGCCACCGCATTTTTTCGTAGAATTTTCGAGCATTACCCCTGTCGGCCAACTTATAAAGCTCTTCGTACTCACGCATTTCGGCCTCTTTCTTTTTCTCATCCCGCACGTGTTGTGGTCGATCGTAACATTGAGAGATAGGCAGCCTGTTTTCTCTCCGCTGCGACACGGCACTCCTCGTCGTACCAGCTGTTCTTTTGCACTTTCCGAAAAGCAAGCCGAGTAGAAAATCGTTCGGCTGTCTGTTGTGATTGCAGCTTCTCGACGTCGAACCTTCCTTGTGTTTGATGGCGTGCGTTTTTTACTGCACAGAGGCGGGTGCGAATCTGGGCTGCAACAAGATAGTGGTCCGAGTCGATGTTAGGACCTCGGAGCGCACATACATCTAAAACACTGGAGACTGAATCTACCGACCATAGTGCCAAAGATACCATCTTTGCCCACCCTGGCGTTAAAGTCGCCAAGCATTTTGACATCGTGGGGGGGACAGCTCTCATAAGTACGCTCCAAGCTCTCATAAAAGGCATCTTTGATCCCATCGTCCTCCTCATCCGTCGAGGCGTGGGCGCAAATCAGCGATATGTTGAAGAACTTCGTTTTGATGCGGATTGTGGCTAGACGTTCATTCAGCGGAGTGAATGATAGTACTCGGCGACGTAGTCTCTCTCCCACCATGAATCCCACACCAAACTTGCGCTCCTTTATATGGCCACTGTAGTCTGTAAAAGAATCGTTTCTGGCCACTCCCAAACTCCCAAGTGAATGGCGATCAGAGAACTTTCCTCACTTGCGTGAACTTCTATACACTACTCCATTCTCCATTTGCTTTTATATTCAAATATTATAACAAAAAACATTTATTATTTCAAATATTCTCCCTCTTTCAGATACCCTTCCACTTCCGGCGGGAGAACATGTATCTTGGCAGCAACGGCTACAAGCATATACTCTCTGAATCCCCCGATGGAAATTATTAAAATAAATGTTGAATAAAAATCAATTGCAACTCGACAAGGTTTAAGAAATTAAACACGAAATCTACAGCACCTGACACTCTATAAAATCTCGTGATTCCTTCGGCATGCGCGATTTCTTTACGACACGCTTCACAGCTTATTTGTACCAGCAACTCAGTGGAAAAAGAGAAATTTTAATAGAAAATAGAAAGTAAAAAATAATAAATAAGAAAACTGCATGCAATATACTCGGCCTTATTATGTATTACTATTATTCTTGTTGTTGCTGTTATTGTGATATTTTGCTGGGAGCTAGGAGAAAGCTTTAATATTTATACATACCATATGTACAATTACTTATATAAATTAGCAGCTTTAATTGTACATTATTTATTTTTGGTTTTTTGTTTTAGAATTTTTTAAGAACTTTTTTTAAAGAAAAATAGTATCTTCAGGATTTTTCTTCAAATACTTGCTTTAAAAAGGCGTTTCCAGCTTCCATTTGTATTTTTAAATTTCTCACCTAGTAATCATGTTAGATAAGCTATTTTATAAGCAACTACAATCTATGTACACACATACATATATATTCTTATATGTATATGGAGTGAGTGGTAAATGCTATTACATGCATAAATCCATACAAAAGTATATGAATAAATATTTTTAATCTCTGTGCAAGATTTATACGGAATGATACACGTAACTGTAATTAACTGCGAATGTTTTTGAAAATGCATACATAGATGTGATAAGAGGAGTGATATGTATTATGGCACGTGTATACATTTGGTGAGTGAAAAATGTTGCTAAAATAAAGGAGCAGCAAATATATGTACACATAATAATAGTAATAATAATGTTATTAAGTCGAACGCATGTAAATGCTTGGTTAACGCTATTTTATTCAATTAAACCCAATAAAGTTATAGAGACGAAATTATATCGGTTTATATGTGTTCTTTGAATTATTTAAATTAATAATGAAAGAGCGGAAGAAAATGTGGAAATGGAAGTATAATTCCCGAAAAAGCAGCACATTTTTAGAACCAACTTTATTTTAATCGGTCAAATAGTTTTGCAGCTTTATGATATAGATGTCCGATCTGAACAATTTCTTCCAGAATTTTGTCGTTGCTTTGGACAATAATGCATGACAAATTTCTTGAAGATAATTCGTCAAGAAAACAGTTTTACATACAAAGACTTAATTTTTATCGATCATTTTGTATGGCAGCCATTTTCCATAATGGTCCTGTATCGGCGATTCAGACAACTGCGTAACTTCTTGGAGAGAGAAATACGCAAAGTTTCAGATCGATATATGGAAAACTGAAGGACTTAATATTCCCCGTTGAGATATACATACTTGTATGTAAGTAGAATTCAAGGTCTGAGAAATCACTTGTGTAGTATATAAGAGGTTTGGATAAGAATTATTTAAGGCTCGATCTTGGACATAACTGCTGCATTTTAAAGATTATGTTTTAATTCTTTAGCCTGCTTGAGTTTAAGCTAGGTGTATAAGGCTCTAAGTGGCGTTATAGCGAAGTTGTTTCTTTTTGAAAACAGTAAAAATAATGTCTTGGATATTCTTTACATCATCAGCCCTACTAAATTTATGTTGCTTTATCTTTTATGATAACATATGGATAATATGGGAAATAGTGTGAAGAAAAATAAAATTTAAATGAAAAATATTGTATTCCTCTCCATGTTGACAAGCCGTTCTCCCGCTTAAAATATCATTCTAAAATGAATCACAAAGAGCACCTCTGTCAAAACCAACCAAAGTATAGGCTGGACATATAGTGGAGAGGACGCAGAGTGAAGAACTAGAAATATTGTGTATTAAAATTTTCCAACAATACTTCTCTTCCAAATTGTGTAAAAAGAAGGAAAAAAATGTATTTCAAGCACTTGCGCTCTATGCAGTATTTTGCAAAATAACAAAATCATATTAAAAAATTTAATTCGAAGTAAGTAAGATTGATCCCCTTTCTTATAATCCTCAAAGGAAGCTTTTATTTATTATTATTGGAGAAATCCAAGCCGAGTTTGGAAGCGTTTCAATCTTTCAGTCCAGCAATAATTTTGTTTTTAATAATTACTAGATTGCTCGTCTACGCTTCACTGTATATGATTTCTATTAATTGGATTATAACTATTAGTTAATGAGATATAGCATTTTTGTGAAGCATCTTATGTTAGTTTACAAAAAAATGGATCATAAAGCATTGCTTTTTGGGAGAAATGCTGTTGAATTTCGGCTCAAGGAAATCCACCGATGAAAAGATATTTGCTAAGCTTAAAGCGGCGAAAGTTCTGTGCTAAGTGGATGCCTCGCAAGCTCATAATCCAATAAAAACAACGAATAACTGATTCTGAGAAGTGTTTGAGTGCTCTTTAATCAGAATAAAACCGAATTTTTGCGTCGTTGTGTGACAATCGAAACATAGTTCCATCATTTCCCTCTGAAGTCCAATCGACAGTCATTCTAGTGGACTGCACATGATGAAGCGGTTCTCGCACGTGGTATAATCCATACTCAACGACTGATTACTGAGCCAGTTATAATCTATTTCACTGCGTATTTGGTTCAATTCTTTTCTACTAAAAATTGTACGCATATATTCAAATGATTCCTACAAACATGAATTTTGAGCAAATGCTTATGATTTAAAATATAATTTTTGTATTTATGAGTTGTATTAAGTTTTGTCATAAAGAGATAAAAAGTATCCTACGTCCTTACCCTGGTCCTAAGCTACCTCCCCACCAGAGAGCTGCAACGAGTATGATAAAATCAGAACAAACAGTCGTGCCAAAAACACAATCAAATCAATTCAGTTCAGCATAGACAACATTGTTAATCACTTCGAGTAGCCGCCAGCGTCAACTGTACTGATGCAACACGAACAATCTGTTCTTCGGCAATCACGATCGTGTAAACGGTATGGCTGGCCTCGGTTGCAAGCGTATCGTGTCAGTTCATAGCGTTGCGACGATTGTTTGAATTGAAGTGAAACTTTGGGTAAACTATAAGTAAATCTACGAGTAAATCTATGAGTACAGCAAACAACAACATTTTTCTGCTGGACTGATTTGAATCATGGGTGGCAAAAAATGTATCAGCTTTGAAAATGTGCGCATGTTACAAACTTTTGATGCGTAAACAGCTGATGAATTTTGCTACATTAAGAAACTCAAATAATTTTTTTTTCAGTGTATGGAATTCATTTTTCTTTTATTCATGTTAAAGCACATTCAATTTTATTAAATAAAGCTTAATTAGTTTTAAAAATAATGCAATCCATATTCGACAACCATCCTCTTCCACCATTTGAAGCATCTCCTGGCAAAATTCCAAGCGAATCGGCAAGACTGCAGCGTTCAGTTTGTTGGCCATTTGAATTTTATATGGGAATAATACAGCAGCGATTGTTTCCTCCGTTCGAACTGAAGGGTTTCGTTGGTAAGGTCTTCTGTTGACTGTCCCATGCTCGGCAAAATTATTTACAAGTCTCATTATGGTCCATCTGCTCGGAGGATTGCCGCCAAACGTGCGCCTATACTCTCTTTGAACCGAAAGTACGGACTCCAGTGCGTGATAGCGGCGGACAATCCAAATTCTTGTTTCAGTGTCCCAGTTATCCATTTTTGTTAAATGTAAATGTCAATCTGCAAAATAAAAAAGAATTAACCAGATTCATTAAATAGAAAAAAAGTTATTTAATTTTTTTTTTTTTTTTTTGGTAGCGGCTTTCATCAGCCACCCTGTATGTATATACTTACATACATTTGTTGTTTGTATGTATGATATTTTTTTATACATACATACATGTATATACAAATATATGTATTTTAAATTGAAAAGAAGTGCACGAGTAAATCAGTGTTTAGCGGATGATATCCAAACCGAACGCTGTCGATCATTTCAATCATTGAAGCATGAGTTTGCATCACTTTGGGTATTTTCTGCTGATACGAACGTTCATAAACAAATCAGGTGTAAGCTGATCGCTAGTGATTCAAATTTGTTCTTTACCGCTGATTTGAAGACAAAAGGTGCGCTTCATGTACCTGAACGGAACTGACAGAATCAGACAGAGTAACGGTACTGATCCGTATATACAAAAATTTATTCCTCGTTGCAGTTCTCTGCTCCCCACCATTTTCAGGCAGAGTTATAAATCGTGTTGTGTTAGTTAACTTTCTTTTATACATGTACATATATAGATGAATAATCGCAGTAGAACTACCCTTTTTAGCAGAAGCACCTCAATGTGCAGTGCAATGCCATAAGTTATAGCCTACTTTTAGGAGAACGTTCTGGCTGCAAGTGCAAAGTACTCACAACAGAGAACATAAAACAAACTCTGCTTCGCGTGCTCTCTAGCATGCGCATAGCTTAACTACTGAGCTCATATATGTACACTGAATAGAATGTGGTAAGCGGTTCCATGGTGTAATGGTTAGCACTCTGGACTCTGAATCCAGCGATCCGAGTTCAAATCTCGGTGGAACCTAAAATTGTATTTTCACATTTCTTTTATTTTTTTTTCTTCTAAATTACCATTTTGTCCAAAATTAAGTTATCAATTGAGCATTAAATATATTGTCGCTTTATTTTCCAAATACTACTTTATTCAGTATTACCCATAAAATGTGTTCCTTATATCAAAATCTCTAATAATATTGTTAGAATATCAATAATGTCGTTTCAAATTCTTTATCCCTTCTTGCCACGTGCCGGCGGTGGCATCTTAGTCGTTGTGGTTGTTGTTGTCGATGTTGTACTGGTGGTGGTTAATTCGACCTCAGCACTTTCCAGCATCATGTCGGTGGCTAACTCGGCCACCGAAACGTTCATGTGCCGACCGGTGTCGGTGGGTATGCTGATTTGGAACTGCAGCAAGACAACTAGATAAGTGACCATGGTGGTAAGCAGCTGCAGGATAAATTGCAATAATTTTTATTACACCATTCTAAGGAAACGTTTCCACTCACGCCTTTGAAAAGATTTCTATTCACATCGAAGAATCCACCACAATTGATATTCGACGGATTCATTTCCGTAGCGCGTATGAACATATTTATCTCCGTCTGCGCGTCCGAGTTCATCCAATTCAGTTCAACCATCAGCAGCTTTTTCTGGAAATTCGTGCGCACATTGAAGGAGGCGTAATGAGCTTTATCGCAAATGTAGAAAAGTAAAAAAACATTCCAAATAGCCGTTATAGCCAAA